ACAGGAAGGCACAGGAAGAGGGGTGGGCAGGCTGGCCCACAGCCATGAGGAGGGTCAGGGAGTGGAGGAGGGGAGAGGTGTGCTAGCCTCACCTTACTCACCTCTTAAGACTCCTTTGGATTTGTCTCGGCCCAAACGCAGGTCGGCTGAATCCCTACATCTGGGTCTCATTTTGGCTGGATCGTGACCTGCCTGGCCTGGCCTAGGACGGAATGGCCAAACTTCTGAGCCTCTTATCTTTGCTCAGAGGGCAAGATGCGTGATTGTTTCGTGCACACTCCTAGCCCACGTATTCCTCTAATGCACTGAAGCTGCACGAAGAGTTCAGGTCATCAGGGGTCCAGGAATTCTGATTCTAAGCTAGCAAAGATTCCTAGGTGACCAAATACACCGTTTGCTGATCTTGGTTAGTTTTAGCCTCAGCTGGTTTTCATGTGTTGTGTGAATCCAGCCTCTTTGGTTAGTTTATGGCTCAGTGTACGTTGTGAACTCATAAGATGGGTTAATTCAGTAACCAGGATAAGCAAGTTATGGAACGTAAAGATTGGAAAGGACTGGGGATATAATCCACCCCGCAGCCTCCCTGACAGATGGCCGTCTGCCCTCTGGCCAAACGCCTTCAACGAAGGAGTGTTCTCTATCTCCTGAGGTCCACAGGGGAACATGTTTACCCTAAGATGTCCAACCAAAATCTACTTCCTCAAAAATTAAACCCATCCTTTCTGCTCCTCACTTCTTAAAAGACTCTGAACCAGTCTGCCCCTTCAGGCCTCCCCACACTTCTCTTCTCCAGACTCAGCATATCAGATGCTCCCATTTTCTCTTTTGTCCCCCCAGATCTCTGTCCATCTGGTTGTCTCCTCCTCCACAATTGGTCAATGTCCTTCCTAAAATGGGCTGCAGCATTCTAGGTGCGGTTCGGCCAATGCAGAACAGAGGAGCAGTGACGTCTTTTGGACTTGGCATTACGCTTCTGTTAACGCAGCCTGGAACTGCCCTGGCTATCCTTGCTGCTGTATCACACCACCGGCTCATCTTCCGCTTGTGATCCACCAAGACCCCCAGATCCTTTTCATATACTGTTTCAGTATATGCTTTTCGGTACTGTTGCCCAGTGTGGCCTCCCTCATCCTACATTTATGGCTTTGATTTTATCCTATTGAAAAGAAGGATTTCACTTTTGCCCCAATTCAATTTCATCTTGTTAGTTTCTTCTTATTTTTCTAACTTGTCAAGACCTTCCCAAATCTTGATGCTGTCCTCTGAGATATTTCCTATCTCTTCCTAACCTTGTGATATCTGCAAATTTGACAATAATATTTTCTAGCCCCTCTTCCATTTGTGAATATATTAAACTATACGGTGCCCTTCCAGGTGACCTGAGCCACTGACTTACGCTTGCTGGGTATGATTGCCCCACGAATTAGTATCCATCAAGCGGTAGCATGCTGAAGCCCACACTTTGCACTAGACTCTCGTGTGAGGCTTTGTCAAACACTTACTGAGGTCATATTATGGTACATTGCAGTATGTCTGTCCCATCCCCTTGATCCATTATTTTGTCACTCTACCAAAAAAAAGGAGATCAGGTTGGTTTGGCATCATTTACTTTTGATAACCCCATACTGTAGTCTTCAGATATCAAAAGGGTGGCCATACAGAGGAGGGACCAGGCAGTTTTCTGCCGCCTTGCAGGGCAGGACAAGAACCAGTGAGTTGAAAATACATGGAAGTAGAATCAAGTCAGAAATGATGAGGAATTTCCTGAAGATAGGAGCTGTCAGCCAGGGGAATGGGTTTCCTCGTGAAGTGGAGGTCTTCAAAGAGTCCTTTGCCCAAAATGCTCTAGAGACCTTGCACCCAGCAGGGGTTGGACTAGGGGTCCTCTGAGCTCCCTTCCAACTCTCTTTTTATTGTTATATTACAGTCCTGGGACTTGTCCCAACAGGTTATGCATTCTAAATTGTATTTGCCTTCCTGTACCAAGAGCTGACATTTGTCAAGTCCTTAGAAGTGCAACCCACCTCCGTCAGCAATCCTTCAACCCGTTACCTCAGACCACGGTCCCAGAAACCTAATCTCTCTCACTGACACCGTTTCTGCTTTCTTCCTTCAAGTTTAGGGATGGACATTCAAGAGACTGTGCATTTGTTTAGACCATAAACAACAGGATGTGGGAGAATAAGCTGAAACTAAATTCGGACAATACGGAGTTGCTGCTGACTCTGGCGACCGGCTCCAGAGCGACGATGAAGTCCCTGTTCTGAAGGGGGTGGCTGCCTTCGTTAAGGAACAAGTTCACAGCCGAGGACTCTTCCTTTATCCAGAACCGATCCTGGATAGCTGGCAGGGGCTGTCAACAATGTCAAAACGGCGGGCATGACCAGGCGGTCAAAGTCCCACCCCTTTTTATGCGCTTGGATGGATGCAACATGCACTTCAATTACCTGCTCATGCCCACCATTTTGACATTGTTGATGGCCCGTGTAACAGCTGTGGCAAGGGGAACTTCTTCTCAGCTTTACCTGGAGGAGAAAAATGCCTTGTTCCAGAGGTATATGCACTGGTGACCTCCAAGTCGGATTACTACAAAAGGCTCTGCATGGAACGGCCCTTGAAGATGGTCTGGAAATTACCTCTGGCACAGGCACAGGGCCGTAGGTGCTGAGTGGCACCTCTAGGAGGTGTCAGGTCTCCTCCGGGTTGAAGCGGCTTAGTCACAAGTTGCTGCCTGAGCACAATTCAAGGTGCGCATCTTCACTTCAGCACCTGATGCGACTTTTGCCCAGTGATTCGAATTTTAAGGATTTTGTGTTTGGTTCTAATGCACTTTTAGAACTGTCAGTGATTTTTAGAACTGCATGTGTTATATATATTGGAATGGGTGGCATATAAATGTAAGAATAAATGAAATACTTTTTGAGCTCCTACAGCTTCTTGAGGGCAATACCTACCCATCTCCGGCGATGATGATGACGTGGGGCCCACAGAGCCGGAGATGCCCCTGGCTGGCAAGGAGGGGCTTCTGCCCCATGGCCCGTGGCAGCAGAAGCCCCCCTGCAGCCCCCGGAGCTGGGGCCTGGCAGGAAGGGAGCCCCCGCAGCCCCCGGGCAGAACCGGGGGAGCCTGGGAGCCCCCTCCACCACGCAGCTGTGATCCGTGGGCCTCGGCTTTCGCCTGGAGCTGCTCCCTCTGGCCGGCAGGCAGAGCGGCCGGGCTTGGGACGGGGGGAAGGCGGTTGGTGGGCGGACGCAGCTGGCCCGGGAGCCAGACGACCAGGACCTTTTCCACGCATCCTGCCGGCCGCGGGAGACGGCAGCACTGCGGACCCAGTGATGGGAGTGGGTTAAAAAGCCTTCTGCTTGCTGAGCCCTCCCGAGGGGCCCAGAGGCTTCTGAGCAGCCCCTCTTCTGGGGCGGAGCTGAAGCAGCCGAAACCTCCCCTTTGAGTCTGCCGCGGAGTGCTCTGATCTCGCTGGGTCCTTGTTTGGGGTCCTGATGCCACAGTTGTGCCCATTAAATCTTTTGTGCAGTATTTGTCCCGTTTGTCAGGACAATGACACCAACACAGTGTTGTGGAATTTTTGCCAAAGACAGGAGCACAACGCTGAGGAGAACCAGGTTTACTGCAATGATCACTGGGTGCCTGTTTTCGAGAAAGAGGACCCCAACCAAGAGAAAGGCATAGGATTTATACACTTTTGAGGTTGAGAGGCGGGAAATTGGAGGGGTCTGATTGAGGATAGGTTTGGATAGGTGTTAAATGGGGGATAAATGGCTTCCTATTGTGAGATAAGAAGGCAGACCCTTAAGCGGACAGGTGATGGCCCGCCCAGTGTTTCAGTGAGCCTGGTCCCTCTTGGGTCATGCAATAGCTAGGAGCTAATCCAGTTCTGCCTGAGCAAAGACTGGCAGGAGAAGCAAGGGGGGGAGTAAAGAGTTTGCTGCAGGAAAGGCAAGGGGAAGGGGGGGGCGAGTTTCCAGCTTTATTTTTTTATTTTTTCATCACAATGGGAACCAGACCCTGGATGTCTCGTTTGCCCCCCAATTTTCACCAGTAGCACCATCACAGGCCCCAGCACCTTCCCCCACAAGATCAGAGGCGCCTTCACACGCTCTTCCTCTAAGGCGAAATAGGCCATCATCCACAGCAGTGCCTTCCAGGCTCCAAGTAGGACGAACAGGCTTCATAGCGCCTCTTTCCTGCCTCTGATTCGCTGGCACCTCCTCCTGCTGGCCGGCCGGGCATTATGAGAACTGGGGTCCAGCGCATCCGGAGCGGGGTTCCGAGGGCTTGTCTGCCAAATGGGCCATCCGGCTGACGGCTGGGGCCTCTTCACCACGAGAGCCTACTGGGCTGGAAGAAGCGAAAGCAGGAAGACGGGCAGTGGCAGAGGCAGAAGGCCTCTTGTATGAGCTCCTCGAAGGTCAGCAGCGCCCACTGCCTGCTCCCAGGACGGGGGCAGGGACAGAGCTGGACCTAACCGTGGGTCTGCCAGACGTCCCTGTCCAGGGCCATCCGCGGGTCCAGCATCAAGAGCCCCAGGCCCGGGCCTCCCGGGGAGGAGGCGCCAGGGAGCACACGGTCCACAACCTGGGAGCGGGAGGGCGTGTGTGCCCTGTGTCGATACCCTCATTGAGCCAGTGCTCCAAAATCTCCTTCCCCATCAGCCCCTGCTAGGTCAGGTCCCCAGACAGACACGCAGCGGCACGCCCTCCTGAGGCACCGGCCCTCCAAACAGCGCCCGCCGCCCCGCTCTCTCTGTCATCTCCTCTCCTGCTCAGAATCCAGAGCTGCGTCTAGCGAGCGCCGTCCAGCAAGCGGGGCACGTGTGCTGACCAGTGAGGCTCCCGCCAGGACACGGGCTCCCCGCATCAGCTCTGAAATGCTGGCGTGAACCAGAAACATTTGCTGCACTGTAAATGGGTAGCAAAGTTAGTGCAAGCTTAATTTATCTTTTCGTTTTATCCCGCCTTTATTATTTTTACAAATAACTCAAGGTGGCGAACATACCTAATACTCCCTCCTCCTCCTCCTCCTCTTTTCCCCACCACAACAACCCTGTGAGGTGGGTTGGGCCGAGAGAGAGGGACTGCCCAAAGTCACCCAGCCGGCCTTCATGCCTAAAGCGGAACAAGAACTCAGCGTCTCCTGCCTTCTAGCCTGATGTCTTCACTACTAGACCAAACTGGCTCTTATTTTGAAGTCAGGCAGGGCGCAGGGGCCCATTTCAGAGAAGGGGAAGCTGAGTCACACGCGTGCAAATCCTCCAGGCCGTAGTGCTCTTAAAGCACAAGAGGTTGGTGAGATTCCTCAGGAGATGCCGTGGAGAAACAGATGCAGGAAACAAAAGGGGGCGGCCCCCTTCCCCGCCCCCCCCCACCGTCTTTTAGACATGACCAGGGTCAACCCAGTTCCTCTCCTTGCCCAACCCCACCAGACCCAGACTGACCCTCCCTGCCCCGGGCAATGCCCCCCGCCATCCCGTCTAACCAGGGAAGAGCAGCCTCCTCGCCCGCTCACAGGGGTGCCACACAGCAGCCAGGTGAGAAGCCCCGGCGTTCCAGCCTCCACCCGGGACACGCCCCCCTTTGTCCCCACGTTCCACCTCCTCACCTATTTCTATTTTTATTTCTATTTAGTAAATTTCTCACCTGCCCATCTCCCCCCGATGGGGAACTCTGGGCGACCCCCAACAAACATTAAAAACATAAATACTGTATATATAAACACATAAAACATCCATTAAAAGCATTACTAAAAAAGGGGAAGGAGAGTCCTAGAAGATGAAGGATCTGGGGCTGAAGACAGCAGGCCTCTATGGGGCTAGCCATCCCCACGCTTGATGTCTTCCCTCCCCACCCCAGGCCAAGTGACGGACCAGGTCTTCAAGGCCCTCCGGAGGGCCGGGAGTGAGGGGGCCCATCGCACCTCCAGGGGAAGAATGTTCCAAAGAGCGGGGGCTACCGCAGAGAAGGCCCGTCTTCTGGACCCCACTAGATGGAGTCCTTTTACCGAGGGGGTCCGAAGCACGCCCTCTCTGTGTGATCGGGTGGGACGGGTTGAAGTCATGGGGGAGAGGCGGTCCCTCGGGGAGCCTGGCCCCATGCCATGTAGGGCTTTAAAGGTGATAACCAACACCTTGAATTGGACCCGGAAGCAAACTCACCTGCGGCCCTCCAGAGAGGGCCATTTGCCCACCAACAGAAATAACCCTGGGTACAGGGACTAGGGCCTGCCCAGCTCCCCAAAACTGGCCAGTAAATCAGGATTCCCCACCCTGCAGCCCTCAGCTTCTATAAACATTTTCGCTTTCCCATTGTTCGGGCCCCCTTTCTCGTAAAGCAGGCATGCAGTAAATGTGCTTTCTCCTCCTCAATTGCACCCCACACTTCTGAATGTTACAGACAGTAGATGCATCTGCACTTTTGTTTCCCCTCCGGGGAACCCCGGGTTGTGCTTGGTTGGCTGCTCCCACACGCCCCTCAACTTCTGCTTTCCATGCCCCCTCCTGATCAAACATCTGCGTTGGCCTCTTACCAGGCTCCAGCTGCAGTTCCTTTCTCTCTGCCACCCCAAGAGGACAGCAGGCCACACACACAGACCTGCCCTGATGGCTGAGACCGTGAGCTATGCTGACCTGCAAGGAGGGTTTGCAAGAAGCCCTCCAGAGAGAAGCCACTGGGAAGGTAGGGGGCCAGCCTGACCGCCCCCCCAGGGCTCGCCCCGCCCCGCCTGCGCCCACCTGATCCCAGCTTGTCTTCCAGAGCCCAGCGAGGGGGAGCTCACCTACGAGAACATCCAGTCCTCCCGGGCACAGGACGAGATTCCCAGAGCCTCCAAGGGTGCCACAGGTGAGTGCTTGGTTCTTCCTTCCTCAAGAAGCCACGGAAGGAGCCCCGTGGCCTCCTGGAGATGTCTCTCTGTGTGTGTGGAACTGAAAGGTCCCGTGGGGTGTTCTCAGTTCTCAAAACAGCTTAATCTGTTTACTTTGACTCATTATGGGCCATCATACGGTTTTCGACGGCTAGTGACCAAATAGATGGATTTTCTCCACGACGATCTGTCCCCAACCTGGTCTTTCAACAATACAGTCCTCGCCACTCACGGAGTCCCTCTGCCGGCTGCGGTCGTCCTCTTCCTCTCTTTCCTTCCACGTTTCCCCGCATTAGAGCCTTCTCCAGAGGGCTGGATCTAATCTGTTTACTAAATCACCAGTTTTCTGAATTTTCACATCTGTTGGACCAGACACCTGACAACACGATAAGCGACAAAAAGCTAACCATGGTTCACCAACTGAGCTTAACGTGTGGGTGCCGCACCTAGGTCTGACCTGGTTAAGCACGTTGTCTGAACCAAGCCATTGAGGGCAAAGACGCTGAGGCTAGCAGGGGTGCCGGCAGGCTAGGACCCGTGTTCGGAGAACGTGTCAGGGAGCGGAGCGTTGCCTGCCATTAATCTGGGCATCAATGCTTAATGTAGAATTTACAGAGGGGTACCAGAGAACAAGAATGTGAAGGGAGATGCCAGGGCGGTAATACTCCTTGAAAAAGGTTTATTAAGAAATCGCCCCTGAACATACTTACAGCATCAGAAGGATCCGACCCCAGACAGCCGGGAGAGCCCAAGCGGCGGGGAAAGATTCTGGAATTCGACTCACGAGGAAGCCGGGAAACGGGGGCAAATCTTGTGGCCCTCTTCCCCCCACCCCCCTGCGGCCCTCTGGAATCCTCACCCCGGTTCCGGGATAACCACAAGGGGAAATTAACGTTCATTTACACCCGTCGGAGAGGAAGAGGTTACAAGAGAGCAAGCAGGCACACTGTGGGCAGTGCGCGCCGGCCGGGCGCTTCGGAGGCAAAAGAAAGCCTTCAGGGTGAAACTAATTGGGGTTTTGCGCCGCCAGCCGGCGGAGGGTGCCGAGCGACTTAATCAACCGAGGGTGCTAAGTGAAGAAGGCGGCAGCCCTCCGTGGGGCCCGGGTGTTCTTTCAAACCACCGTAAAGGAAGCTTAAGCATTCGAAGGCATTGCCCAAGCCAGAAGGGGCCAAGCGAACCCAGGAAGGGACCGGAGCGCCCTTTTGCTGAAGCCCTGCGAGAGAAGCCTCCCTCTCTTCAGGGAGGGGAGCCAAAGGAGCCCAGACAAGGCTGAAGGTGCAAACGGGAAGGCCGACCGAGGGGAACGACCCTTGTTTTCCCAGGACGTTCTGACCGGTGTGTTTCTCCTGCAGGGCAGAGCCGTCAAACCAGGCGCACCGCCTTGGGAGTGCTGGGCATCGGCCTCCTCCTTCTCACCATCGCTGTCAGCCTTGGGGTTCAATGTGAGTCACAGACTCCCCAGACGAACCCAGCCTTAGCCCAGCCGCTCCCTGCAGCTTCCTTGGGGAAAAGGGGTGCCGTGCCGTCTGAAGGTGGCACGGATTGCTCTCTCCCATGCCTTGGACTGGCGGCTCCTGAGCTCAGAGCTGGCTGGCCACCTGCTCAGCAATTGTTCCCTTACTGTCCTGTCCCCCCCCACCCCAGAAGAGCCCCAGAAGGATTCTGGCTCCCCGGCTGCTTCCTCTTTCCAGGCCTGCAGGCCTCCCGGCGGCTC